AACTTGATTACTGAAGTTTATATCGCGAAATGAACTGTCTGTATTGGTTCGACCGGACCCTCATCTGGGAATACAGTCGAAGGTCAAGAAACCAGTCCAGGATTACTCTAGCCCCATCAATTGCTAGACCATCAATGACCTATCAAACAAAAGAATCCTTCTAGTACTTAGCCAGAACCAAAGCCAGGTCTCACCAATCCAAATCGCAAAGAATCAATCAAAAGAATCTTCAAGAACTTTTTATGTGCTGGCTAGCTCAGGCTCAGAGCTCTGCAAAAATAAGAGCAGGATTCCTTCACCATTGATGTGCACAAGCCATCTTAAGCTTTGGTTGGTGCCTATCCTCTTTCAACTTTGTTCTAACCATTCGTCAAACCATGCATCTCAAGCCCAACTAACTAACCCGTACCTTATTCAAACAAGGGCTCAAAAAAAGTCTTCATGGGTCATTGAGAGGTCAGTCGTAGGGAGCCCATGACCATGGCGGTTTAGAAAACATCAAAAGCAGTTTACAACCTTTCTTCTCTCCGTCTGCCTGGCTCGAGGATGAACTGAATATAAAATGAATATTTATTTTACTCAATTTAATAAATACTCATTAAAAATAGATAATGAGTATTAAATGAATAAATATATATATATGGTTTCGAAGTATGGGCACTCACCTTTTTTTTAATAATATCCATTAATTTATTTTGATTTTTTTTTAAACATGCAGAGATCTAATTAAATGAACTTTAAAAATTAAGAATCGAATTATTTTTTAAAAAACTTTGAGGACCAAAAGAACTTATAAAGAAATGACCTTAAAAAAAAAATCAGAAAACTTTTCTTGAAACTTATAAGGATTTAAATGAAATGTTTTTGACAAATTATTTTGAGTAGGTATTAAATGAGTACTAAATAAGTTGGTAAACTAATGTGGACTGGATATGGATTGGGTAAAGATTTACATGGTGATTCTTAATGAGTAGGGTGTTCTCTTATAGATAGGATAAAATATTAAATTAATAGACGAAGTATCCGCCATTGTCATCCCTACACTAATCAATTTCTCTAATAAAGTATTACAAATAATTATCTCAAAAACAAATAGTTTTGTTTCTCAAAGAGACTTTATGGATGTTAGTATTTATGATAGTTTTTTAAAAAATATTTTGTAAATTGCATATGATACTATAGAAAAAGTAAGGGACTTTTTTTTTTTTTTTACTAATGTATAAATATATATTTTTTCAGTTATAATATTTTAGCTTATAGAGTTTTTTTAGCTGAAAGAAGTGTAAAGATGAGTTTTCTTTAGGTTTTGGGTTCATACATTTCTTTATTATTGTTGTTATTTTGAGTTAATGATTGTACATGTCTCTTTACTTTTTATTTTGCTTTTATCACATCTTTTTATTTTCATCTTAAATTTATCTCACTATGTTTAGTTTCTATCTTAATCTCATCCTTCTATTAACTTTTTGAACCAATGGTGTTAACTTATTTCTTAACCTCATCTCTCTATCCTATTTTTCGTCTAGATCTCGGTTTTTTTTTAATACCAAATTTAGATAAATAAATTTTGAAAACTTAATATATATATATATATATTTCATAAAAGTTTTAATACTTCATATATCAAAGTTCTTTTTAAATAAAAAAACCTACATTTTAGTCCATATCTTATATATCTGTCCTTCGTTAAGACTCTTTAAATTTATAACTTTGCCCTTGGTCGGGATTCACGAGCACAGCACATTCCCGTTCCATTTTCCATAGAATCATACTTTCTATAGATATCTTTCGGATTGGGTCGAAATTCCAAGATCCAAATACAAAAGTAAGTTATAAATTAGTCCCTTTAGTTTTAAAAAATGGATTAATTATTATTTTTTTGTTTCAAAAAAACTAATTATTTAGTTTTTTTTAACTAAGATTAATCATGCTTAATTTAAGGTATCTAATATAAGATCTCAGATTTTATAATTGAAATGTAGTGATTTGAATAATAAATATTTGATTGATGGGATATTTGAAATATAAGCTATACCTTGCAATGATTTGTGTGACATGAAAAACTTTAAAATATTCTAAGAGCAAATAATAAAACTTACAATAATTATAGAGAGAGATAGACCAATAATAATAAGAAGAATATTTTCACCTAAGCTTTTTTTTTTAATCTCTCTCCTATGAAGCATATGTTATTAAATGGTTTAATGTAAAAAATTATTGCCAAACTATTTATTAATTTGAGATCTAAATAGCCTAAATTGATAATATAATCTTTAAATTATCATAATCCAATAGTTTAGAGGTTATTTTTGTTATTAGACCAATATTAATTACTTTTTGAATAACATAAAATTTGAGGATGTCCACAAGCACTTTTAAGGTTCAGTTGGTACCTTATTCAAACAAGTGCCCATAATATGTCCTCATGGGTCATTGAGAAAGGTCGGTTGAAGGCGGCCCATGGCTATGGCGGTTTAGAAAACATCGAAACAGTTTTCGTTCCTTTCTTCTCTCTGTCTCTCTCACGGATAATTATCTCGACAACAAATATAGCTTTGTTTCTCAAAGAGACTTTTTGGGATGTTAGTTTTTTTCTCGAGGAGGAGGAGAACTTGCGAATTGCATCCGATATCATGGAAAAAGTAAGCTACCCTGTTTTTGCATATATATATATATGTATCTTCAATTTTAATATGTCAGCTCATAGAAATTGAGAATTGTTTTTAATATTCCCTTTAGTTTGTTTGTCTAGCTTGATTTGCAAGAGAAGGGAATGTTATTTTCTTTGTGGCAGAAAGAAGTATTTACTTGCGTAACTCTTTAACCATCATACTAATTGTGCTTTCTGTTTTCGCTTTTGTTGTCAAATAGATTGAAGGCATGCAAAAAGGCAGAGGAGGAGAGGGGACTTCTTCTTCATACTTAGAAGCTTGTAAGAACAGCATTTGGTTCAAATTATAAGATGATTGAGTAGTTGAAATCCTTTTCCGATTATGTGACGACCGGAGTCTCTTTAGCTCTAAATTTCTCCTTAGAGCTAAATGTGTCTGCAAGTCCTGGAAAAATCTCATTACCAATGTTTGTGTTCCGAAAATTTCAGCTTTCTTACCTCTTTATGGCTTTCTTTACCATTCACTGAGGATAAAGTCCAAAGTATTTATTGATTTTCTTCGTTATCGTACACCCTGAGCAACTTTTGTGCCATTACCCTATGAATTTGTTAAGTCCTTTTCTTCTTTATTGCCTTTCGAGCCTGCCCCATCTGATTTGCATGTTGTTGCAATGGTTTGCTCTTGTTTCTTGATCCTTCTATTCCCCAATACTATGCTTGTAATCCCTTTATAAGTCAATGTGTGGTGATTCCTGGAGATTTTACACATAAAGAAGAACATCGTTTTGCTGCCTTGGCCTTTAGTCCTTCCAAATCGCCTCACTATAAAGTTGGTTGTGTTTATATTTCTCCCCAAGTCCCCCAAGTTTAGACGTGTTTTGATCAGAAACTGGCAACTGGACTAGCCATAAAATACGTCTTGAATCTTCATTGGAGGAGCATTAAAACGTCAGGCGTTGTGTTACCTTGGATGCAGTGTTGTACTGCCTACCTTTCTCAAAACAACTTCTACGTTTTGATCTTAATGAAGCAAATTTTCGAGGTATTGATCTTCCAGAGAAGGAGAAAATTAATCGTGAAAAATCAGAATGCATCGGGTTGTCGAGAGGTCGTTTATATTATGCTGATGTTGTTGGGTCTGAGTTTTTTATTTGGCAGCTTGAAGATCTTGGCAAGGGCGATAGGTGGATCCTAACGCACGCCATCCCAACTAATCATTTTTTTTGGATCCTACACGGTATTCTAAGCCTAAAAAACCATACTAATCTTTCGTTATTTTATCAGACGGATAAAATGAGAATAGCTATCGTAGATTTTTTTACATATATAAGGAATTGAATTGAAGATCATTTACTTAAACAACAACTGACTACAGTTTTTCCACTCCAGCTAACTCTCTTGGCTAACTAATCATTTTGATATATTAGAAAAGCAGCATCCGCAGGATAGAGCTGCATCCAAAATGCATCCAACTCAACTCGTCCAGCTTTCAAGCCCAAGTAACTAATCATTTTGATATATTGGTAAAGCCTTTCATCTAACCAAATAAGTCGTTTTCTGTGGGAGTCTAGCTGTGATGGTCAGCTATTGCTTTGAAAAGAAAACTATGGAATTGTTTCGTGGAGCTTATATTGGCTATCAATATGAAAGGAGGAGGTTAGAATTGCTTTGTAAAACTGAGAATGACCGTTATATCTCACAGTCAACATAGGATTTTGGCCAAAGGTAATTAAGTCTGACTGTCTGACCGAGTCGTAATTAGCCTGAAGAATCTTCAAGTACTTCATGGTCCGGCTAGCTCACACATTTGCAATAGTAAGACCAGGATTTCTTCACCACTCAGGAGCATTTTCAGCTTTGGTTGGTTGGTGCCCATCCTCTTCAAAGTTTGCTCTAACCATTAATCCATCATTCTTAATTCATCATTCATCCAAAAAGAGAGCTTGGATAACTGCTGAAAAAAAATTGGGGATAAAGAAAGCAATGGTCTAGGTATATTTGTAAACAATTTTATAATTCAAGCTAGTATTGTAAAATTTAAGATCCACTCTACTAGCTAATGTAGTAGAGCATTAGTTACAAGACATACATTTGAGCTGAAAATCAAATCTCTCCACTGAATTTAACTTTAGGTAAAGACATGAAGCAAGTGGAAGCCATGACCATTTAACCTGAAAAAAACAATTTCATTACTAGTCAGGCAACAACTACCACAAAGAAATGATATCAACAGAAACCTCAAGAAGCAGAGAGATTTAATTACAATGTTGAAACGGTAGATCTAAATTCCAGGACTAGTCTCCTCATTCAAACCCCATAGTTCTTTGTACAATAAAATATAAAGCAACTGCAAATACTACTACATAGGCCATCTTGCTACCCCATCAGTCTAACATTTGAAACCTCCACAAACAAACATCCACAGGATCAGAATCAAGACAAGGACTGTTCCTCCCACGATCAACTTCATTTGGAGATTCTGAAACCACATCTTCCGTCGTAATTGCCTTCCTTGCCTCTGGAAGCTGTCAGCCTGTATTTTAACATGTAAAGACATAAGCACATTGTTACAAGGTCTATTAAAATTGCTTTCAGAACTAACTAGGAATGGCATGTACCTGGAACTGGAGGTTCTCTGTTTTATCTACCAGAAGTTCAATCTTCTCTCCACGGTCCAGAACCTGCAATTCATTAAATTAGCCACTGCATTCAACAAAAACTTGCTAATCATTTTGCTGCTTTACTAAAGATAAAATTTAAACAATATCAGTTCACCGCACAGAATATAAATCAACCAGCCTTTTGTATAAGATTAGGTTAACTTGTTTCAATTGATGAACAAACTTAACCAACTTCAAACCACTCCACTTGCAACTGTGAAATTATCAATCATAAAATAGTAGCAACTGCAGTTGTCAATCTTAGCCAAAATATGCCCAACTCCTAAGTTGCAAGTCAGCTATATAACTGGTCTCTAAGTAATTCATTGTACAATGTAATTGATGCTTCCAAACATAAAATTCCACATCCACAAACATCAAACAGATCTGTTGTCCTGATAACATTACTGATCTCCAGGTGAGGAATCTATGCTTGAATTTCAAGGTGAAAAATGATACAATTAAGTAACCAAGAAAGATGCCTTAATTGATCTCCAAGTAGAGTTAACAAGTGAATTCATTGCATGCTCAGGCTCATCAAATAATAACACAATATGGTGTGTTGAAACATTGGAAAAATAATGGTTTGACTCTAATTAGTCCTTCAAAATAGTCACAAATTACCCATCCATCTATGACTAGAGAAGTTATGATGATAGTTGTCCTGTGTGGAGATAAGATGTCATGATCCTTAATGGCTTACGCTAAGAAAGGGCATTCCTGAAGTGGAGTAGACTGAGTGGAGTACTATTGAGGTGGATATCTGACAGGTTCACTTTATTTTTTGACATTCTATCAGATGAGCAGTCAATACTCATACAGCTTGACATCCAAAATCAACCAAATAGCTTATACACCTTCCATATCACCTCCAACCGCCAACCAAACGAATGAGAAGAAGAACACATCCGCACTAATATATTAGTAGCATATGCAAAGAAACAAGAATCAATAGTATACATTCATGCAGAAATCCCCATCTTCTATGATGGTGAGAAAATACAGAGCAGAAAGTGTACTTTGGATTTGAATGCTAAACATGAATTGGTTTATCATTAACAATACTCCAACAAAACATGAAATGCGTACCTTTTCAATGTTGTCCATCATAATCCCCTTGACCTCCGTTATTTGAGCCTTTAACTTGGATAGCTTACTGATCTCTTCTGGGTGGTTCATGCAGTACTGCATGTGCTCCTTAAGTCTTGGCCTGTTACACACAAACAGATTATCAAAAGTTAAAGCAGCATGCAACAACAAAAGCCTTAAATTTGACATAAAAAGGACCATACATACCCAAACTCTCTGTCAAGATTGTAGGCAATGCCAAATCGGTCTTCAAACAAGTCGTCGTCGTCGTCGTCAGCAAGTGGGTGTGCCTCATTTTTAATACTAGCACCATACCGCTGTTTAAAATCATCCTTCACTCGTTCAAGAAACACAAAAGGGACACCCCTCCCAACTGATTCATCTGCAACAACAAGAAAAACTGCACACCCAACACAAAAATCTTCAGCACACATCTCCCTATGATCAGAACCTAAACTCAACATCAGCAGCTAACAAGAACAAAACAATACCAAATCCATCATCTAGGAAGAAGTTAAATGTGTGCCCATCACAAGAGTATGTGTACTTGCTGCTATTGGAAGGAAGCTTCTGTAAACACTGAACAGCAATGGTACTAAAGTTCCCCAAGTAAGATGTGTGCTCTGCTAATACCACATTTCCCTTAGCCACAAAACTGTATATCAAGCCTTTTGGACTACTCATCTCTCAAAATTAACTTCACTTCACCTCACCTCAGGATCCACAAAAAGAAATAAACCTAACAAAAAATTAAGGATCTATAAAATCAGACAACATTCAAACCTCAACAAACAAACACGAAATTTTGCCAAAATTACAAATTGTCAAAAAAAAAAAAAAACCTTCAGAAATTAGTCTATGATTATAGATTAACCATAAAATTCATGCAACAAACATATCTATTTAGCCACACATACAGCCCCGTCAGTCAACAAAACCTCAGATTTCAAACGAAAACATCAAATTCACATCCGTAAACATCTAACCATCTAATCTTAGGTGAAAGCAAGCGAATAGAAACATCAATCCACAGAATTCAACCCTAATCCACTGTTTGACTACTGAAGGGAAAAAAAGCGAGAAAAGCATGGAAATCGAAGGAATTCGGAATCCAACAACAGAAACTTGGTAGACCATTTTTGGGTTTTCCACATAAAGAACATAAGGGGTCCAAAGCAGCACTAACTAAGATTTTGTACCCATTTTTCCTTCATTTTCTCAGCAACCAAACAGAATCTATAAAAGATGTAAAATCCTAGGTGTTAATCACAAAATTAGACGGTTTGATTCAGTTTAAACGATAGGTTTTGAAAATGTAATGAATAAATAATTACCAAAAGGATTAGATTTTCCTCTTGTACGTAAAAAATTTGATCGAAATCAAAATGAATTAAAGAAGGTAAAGGGAGAGAGAACCTGCAGTTTCCTGGGAGCGCAAGACTTGTCACTTGAGCGACGAGTTGGTCTTTTTTATTTTTATTTAATCTTTCTGCTTTTATAAATTTATAATTATGTGTGGAATTTTAAGAATTTATTCTTAAGAACTAAGAAAATAAAAAGGGTAAGCTTTTTTTAGTCCCTTTAGTTCATCAATGTTCCATTTCCAGTACAGTTATGGTGCTATCCTTCATCATCGATTAGCTAATAAAATCCGAGGCCGAGTGATTCAAACCTTCTTTGAGCTCTAAATTATTTTAAAATCAGTCTCTTAACTTCTAATTCTTAGTTAGATTTTCTTTTAATCATTTTTCATTTGAAATTGAATTATTTTGTTAGATTTTTATCAATTCTAATGTCCAATTATATTTATTTAGCGAATAAAAACATGTTAAAATTTATTGATATATTTTCATTTTTTCTTCAAAACTTGTGTTTTTTCTTTTGAATGATAAAAATTTAGCAATTAAAGATATTTTAAAAGAAAATAGATGAGTTTTAAAAGAAAAAATAAAACATTTATAAGTTTTGATATGTTTTTAAATGATAAAAAAAAAAAAAAGTCAATCATGTATAAGTGATGTGTAATTTTATTATGAGAGTTGAGAAAACCTAATAAAAAAACTCAATTTTAAATAAAAAATAATTAGAACGGGGTCACCTAAAGATTAGTTCACTAAATTTTAAATCATATTCGATTCAAATGTTATGCTGAATTTGCTATTCGTAAATTTCACTATTTGTTTATGAAAAATGAAAAATGACAGCTAAAATTACAAATAATGAAGTTGGGCCCAGTTTAAGCCCATTACATAGATAAAGAGTGAAATTTGATTTGGGCCAGTCACGTCCATAATAAATTATAAATTAATTCCACTCGTTTTAAGAAATGAATTAATTAGTTTGATATGTTTTTAAGAAATTCTCCTATCTCTAATTTTTTGCTCAAAGACAATGGCTAGTTTGGAGATTGTTTCCTTTTCTTTTCCAAGAAAAATTATAGAATTTTTCTTTTTTTTTCCCAAGAAAGATTAGAGATTAGGGAATCTTTATTAGTGCAAAAAAAGAAGTTGATATAGAGTATACCATTCCACCGATTTGCACAAAAAAAAAAAAAAAAAGGGTTAGAGGCATCTAATGGGGATCAATCAATTAAAAAATTATAAAACTAATGGGTTTACTAAATCTATCCACTAGACAATTTTCGTTTATATGAAATCATTTGTGTGATAATTATATTTTAAATCACACACACATATATATATAGTTTAAAGACAACAAGATCTTTATCAAAAGAAAAAACAGATAGCAAAATAAAAAAATGGGTGTGTCGGTTATTTATTTATTTTCTTTGTATTTTAAGTCCATTCATGATTTCCGGTTTGGACTCCAAATTCTTAAGGGCCCTTTACAGTATCACCTCAGCCCTAATGTTCATGAAATGAAGAGAATTTATGGGGGTTAAATACATTTTTTTCCTTCCTAAAAAGCTTTCAGGGGATGAGAACTCTCTGTACATGCATATGCACACCGCATCTCATATATCCAAGAATGCTTTTTTTTTTTTTTTTGCAAAATGGTTGTCTGATTATATATATATATATGGATGGATGGTTGTAAAGATGGACTTAGTTTTTTATGAGAAATTATATTTACCTTATAAATTTTCAGAATTACGTTAAGTGATGTTATCAAAGAAAAACCCTTGGAATCAATTTCAGAAAATCAAAGGGATAGTGCCTATTATTTTTTTGAAATTTGCCTCTTTTTATCTATGGGGACTGCTAAGTCCCTGAATATCTATTATATATATAAACCGGTACTTAATCCTAGTTTGAAGGAAAGATTGCAAATCACTTAATACTAGTTTAAAGAAAGATTACCTACTCACTTTCAGCAATTAATGGTGAAGGAATAGCACGTACCCTTTTTTTTTAAAAAAAAAAAAAAAATCCGATCAATATCCACTTGGTTTGCCAACATGCACACATATTGTAGGCGGAAGAAACAACTTGCACACACACACGTATATATATGCACACACGAAGAATACCAATATATCTCAGGAAATTACCCCTTTGCAGATACACTTAATTTCCATGAAAATAGAGCCACAGGAACATTCGGGCTGCATTTCCTAGGCAGCAATACTATCAACGTAACAGATACGACAAAAATATTGAAGAACATATGTGTTTGTAAAGGTTTGAGATCCATGAATCAAATGGTCTGCAAAAACTTTTCTTGATCGACACGATTGTGGGCGGGGAAGATAGAGAGGAAACATGCATGCATTTTCATGGAATTTAAAGTATTTCAGTTCCTCACTTAATGGCTATATATAATCAAGTCTTCAGAAGAATAACAGTCATTCCTCTTTATAGCAAAATCAGCCCTCTATCGCCTAATTAACCTTTTTCCTCCAAATTTTGAAACCATGAAGGGCTATACGATCTGCATGAAGACTGTTTTTATCCAAGCAAAATGATGCTCCTTTTCTTTCTCATCTTTAGTACTACTATAGAAACTCGAGCATTTGCAAAGCCTCAAAACAACATGAAGAAAACAACTAGTGCTCCAAACAAAGCGCATGTATTTCCACAGGGTAGCCGTCCAGTTGCACCCTCTGGCCCTAATTGCCGCACACACATCCCTGGGCACTGCTGAAGTCATGACTAAATTTCCAAATCCATATTGCTTTACCACATGTCTCTTTGCAAGCTGGAGCCGGTGGCGGTGGCGGTGGCAGTGGTCGTGGGGTCTTCTCAAGTCTAGCCTCTTTGTGCATAAATAATGATAGCTAGCTGGCTAAATGTTTAGTTATGGTGGTACAAAGGACCTGCAAATATCTGGCCGCTTAAGAGCTAAATATATTAGGGTATATCATTTTCGTTTTTCTTAAATTTGTTCTTCTCATCTTATTAATTGCTGTTCGAATTTAAGTTCATTAGTAAGCTGATATAGATATGGGGTGTATTCGTTTTCTTTCCAAGTTCCTTTCCTTGTTATTTTTTTGCATATATATATTTATAAAATTAAGCATGAACGGTATATTAAAAATAATCAAGCATATTATGGAAAATTAAACACAATTTTGATCTTCAAAAACTTAAATTTCTAGAATATAATTTATATTATTTTTTAACAATCACTAATATTTTGGCCATATTTGTGATTCCCAGTTGCTAATCTTCTTTAAAAATTAAGGTGAATCATATTAAAAACTAGAATTACTAAATAATATTCTTAACTGAATCATGAATATTCCGGCTGCTTCTTTTTTTTTTTTCTTTCCCTTTTTTGAGAATTAACCATGCATTTATTTAGAGTAAATTATAAATTAGTCTATTTAGTTTTAAGAAACAAATTAATTATTCAATCCTTTTGTCCATTTTATATTCTTTTCTATTTTATTTTATTTTTTATTTAAAAAAATATCATGAAAATATTAATGAAAAAATGAGATATTTTTATAAATAAAATAATATTAAATTAAACGTGACCAAGATTGATAAAAAAAATTAAATAATTAATTTTTAAAACATAAAAAAAAATTTATTTTTTAAAACTAGAAGGAATTATTTATAATTTACTTCATTTATTTAACGCGCATATGACTTTCTATTGGATGACAACTGACAGAAGGAAAGATTGGGAAATCCCACTCCTGCCCGAAACCACAAATTAACCGTAATCTTCATAGAAAATGAAGAACTACTTCATGATTCAAAGACTAAGATTCCACAGCTATCGTGGAATGTGGTCCCTTTTCGTCAAATTTCAGTGGATTGACTGCTGTAAAGTTGATGCTATTGCCACCCGAGCCTTTTGACATTAACTCCATTTTGTAACTATGTAATGTGCTTTTTTCACAGTAAAAAACAAGGAAGAAAGACGACAAGAAAATTAATTTATCAATTCTATTTAGTCAATATGGGAAAACGCATTAGTGTTTCGTGTGTATTTTCAGCGTACTTTTTATTTTTTATGTGAAATTTTTGGTTTTTGTCTTACATTATCTTTGACTCTTTTATACAAAAAAAAAAAAATATTCATAGAATTTTGTTATTTCTGTTTACAATCGCTACCACTATTGAAAATATGAAATCCTGATATAAAGAATATTGTTTTAGCTTTTAAGTATGCTTAGAAGATTATATGAAATTCTAAGGATTATTTTGGAGAACTTCTCTTGATAAATACATACAAAATTTGTATTTTCTAACTATTAACTAATGAAACAATCCATAAAAAAGTAATAAAGAAATATTAAATGCGTAGTTGAATATTACGCTTGTGTAAAGAATGTAGCAAGAAAACTCACAATAAAATATAGAAAAGTACGAACAATACTCTTTCTAATATTTTTTTTAAAACATTTATTTAATAAAAATATCCACGTTAAATCTTTTCATATAATTTTAAATTAAAAAAAAACTATGGATGATATCAATTTTCTCATCTAAAGTGGATTTTGGTGTAAAAGGATGAAGGTAAGCTTTGTGCAATTGGAGAGCGTGGAAACATTTCGTTGGCTATAGGCAAAAGAATGGTTTGGATGTAATAGCTATACTTAAAAGTAAATTAATGTAATGATGTTTAGCATTTTGGTTCGAAAAAAAAATCATAAATAAAGTTAAAATTGCTAGAAATTTAAATTTAGAGTTGAAGCATAGCATTCATATATTAAATGCCTCTACTAAAATTTTCATAACGGACGATAGCTAAACATATTTAATTATTATATTGACAGGTATACCAACAAGATAATCTGCATATCAACATATCATGTCCATATATTTATTGACATGAAAAATAATATATATTGATCTATTGATCATTGTGTCAATACATCTACATGAGGTAGGCTTGTTCTATAAAGCCAAACATGTAGTCATGATCCCAATTTCTCTTCATGTCATTCCATCTATTTTTACCTTATTTAAAAAAAAAAAAAGACAGGAATGAAATGTGTAAAGAAACCGTATAGATGATATTGGAAAATTTTACACTATGGGAGTATAGGTGGAATATTGGTGAATCTATACGGGCTAAAAATGAAGTTCCCTAATTTTTTCATTTTATTTTATTTTATTTTTTATAAAGGGCTTTGGATAGAGTTATTATTTACTTTGTATCTTAAGTGCATTCATGAAAGGAAGATAATTTTTTGGAGGTTAAATAATTTTTTTTCTTCCTAAAATTGCTTTCAGGGGATGAGAACTCGCTGTACATGGATATACACACCTCATCTCATATATCCAAGAATGCTTTTTGTTCGCAAAATGGTTGTCTGATGTATATATATATATATATATATATATATGGATGGATGGTTGTAAAGATGGACTTAGTTTTTTATGAGAAAATATTATTTTTGGTTTAAGAGATTTAAAAATAAATTTATGGATTTTTTAGATAGAAGATTTTGTTATAAGGTTTTTCTAATAATTATCTCTTATATTTACCTTATAAATTTACAGAATTACGTTAAATGATGTTATATATCAAAGAAAAACCGTTGGCATAAATTTCAGAAAATTAAGAGGATGGTTCATAGTTAGAGGGGGAAACATTGTCCCATTCCTATTATTTTTTGAAATTTACCTCTTTTTATCTATGGGGACTGCTAAGTCCTTGAATATCTATCATATAAACCAGTACTTGATCCTAGTTTGAAAGAAAGATTGCAAACCATTTAATACTAGTTTAAAAAAAGATTACCTTCTCGCTTTCAGCAATTAATGGTGAAGGAATAGCACCATTTTTTAAATTTGATAAATATCCACTTGGTTTGCCAACATACTCACATATTGTAGGCGGAAGAAACAACTTGCATATATATACGGCCAATACCAATATATCTCAGGAAATTACCCCTTTGAAGATGAACTACATTTGCATGAAAAATAGAGCCAAAGGTAAGGAACATTCGGGCTGCATTTCCTAGGCAGCAATATTATCAACGTAACAGATACGAAAAAAAAATGGAAGAACATATGCTTAATCGATACGTTTGTGGGCGGGGAAGATATATAGAGAGGAAACATGCATGCATTTCCATGGAATTTTACAGCATTTCAGTTCCTCACGCAATGCTTCCATATAATCAATACTTAAGAAGCATAACATTCATTCCTCTTTATACCAAAAAGAAGTAAAATTTGAATCCCAAAGGTGAAAAAAGAGAAGAATATATTTGTTTTCACTTACTAGAGTTGGGAACTCGAAAGTCTTCACTCAAATTTACAAAGTTTTTTGATGAAAACAATCCTGGTGGGTTATGATGAAATTCCCTAAAGAGATACAAAAGAAGAGGGAATGAAAATTGACAGAGGAAAAAAAAGGAAAGAGAGAATGAAAAGTGACAGAAGAAATAGATTTAGAAGGACTAAACAGTTAAATAGAGAGTTGATTGTACATATATTAAGTGTATTGAAAATAAAAATTCAAAAGTTTAAATAATTATCGCACACGAGAGAAATAGAAATTTTCCCACTCCTAGGGAAATAGAAAAATTTGTGTCCCATTGGCAATACTTTGATGATGGCCACATCTAACTTGAATCCAAAGTTTATTTTCAAGGACCTAATTAACAACATAGAATCTTTTCAGTAGGATTAATAAAAAATTATATCTTCTCTTCCGCATAGGTAACCTTGATCTTATCATCATTGCTGGCCTAATTTTCCTAGCACATCCGTTACTTGGTAACATGTATCCATTACGTACGTTAACTAGCCAACTTTTGCTAAAAGACAATGGCTAGTTTGGAGATTGTTTATAGAATTACGATAAGTGATGTTATCAAAGAAAACCTCTTGGAATAAATTTCAGAAAATTAAGGGGATAGCTCATAGTTAGAGAGAAACATAGCCCGTTCTTATTATTTTTTGAAATTTGCCTCTTTTTATACATGGGTACTGCTAAGACACAATATGCCTGAATATATATTATATGATCTTCATTTTAAAAAATTTCAGTCATAATAATATCGTTAAACCACTTAATCCTAGTTTTAAAAAAAGATTGCCTTCTCACTTTCAGCAATTAATTAATGGTGTCGGAATATGACCCTTTTTTTTTTTTTAATTTGATCAATATACACTAGGTTTGCCTTTAATTGCAAAGATTTCACTTTAATTAGTCTTAATTAACTTGCGTGGTAGGCGGAAGAAACAACGTACTTGCACATATATATACGACAAATACCAATATATCTCAGGAAATTACTCCTTCGCAGATACACTTAATTAATTTCCATGAAAAATAGAGCAACAGGAACATTCACAGATACGACAAAAATATTGAAGAACATATGTGTTTGTAAAGGGTTGAGATCCATGAATCAAATGGTCTGCAAAAACTTTTCTTGATCGACACGATTGTGGGCGGGGAAGATAGAGAGGAAACATTCTTGCATTTTCACGGAATTTACAGTATTTCAGTTCCTCACTTAATGGCTATATATAATCAAGTCTTCAGAAGAATAACAGTCATTCCTCTTTATACCAAAATCAGCTCTCTATCGCCTAATTAACCTTTTTCCTCCAAATTTTGAAACCATGAAGGGCTATACGATCTGCATGAAGACTGTTTTTATCCAAGCAAAAATGATGCTCCTTTTCTTTCTCATCTTTAGTACTACTATAGAAACTCGAGCATTTGCAAAGCCTCAAAACAACATGAAGAAAACAACTGGTGCTCCCAACAAGGCGCATGTATTTCCACAGGGTGGCCGTCCAGTTGCACCCTCTGGCCCTAATTGCCGCACACACATCCCTGGGCACTGCTGAGGTCATGACTAAATTTCCAAATCCATATTGCTTTATCACGTGTCTCTTTGCAAGCTGGAGCCGGCGGCGGTGGGGTCTTCTCAAGTCTAGCCTCTTTGTGCATAAATAATGATAGCTAGCTAGCTAAATATTTAGTTATGGTGGTACAAAGAACATGCAAATATCTGGCCGCTTAAGAGCTAGATATATTAGTGTGTGTATCATTTTCGTTTTTCTTAAATTTGTCCTTCTCATCTTTTTAATTGCTGTTCGAATTTAAGTTCATTAGTCAGCTGATATAGATATGGGGTGTATTCGTTTTCTTTCCAAATTCCTTTCCTTGTTATTTTTTTTTATATATATATAATCAACCGCATTATGAAAAATTAAACACAATATTCATCTTCAAAAACTTAAATTTTTAAAGTATAATTTATATTATTTTTTAACAATCACTAATATTTTGGCCATATTTGTGATTCCTAGTTGCTAATATTCTTTAAAAATTAAGATGAATCATATTAAAGACTCCAACGACTTCTAAATAATATTCTTAATGAAATCATGAATATTCCGGCTTTTTATTTTTCTTTTTTTGACAATTAACCATGCATTTATTTAGAGTAAATTATAAATCAGTCCATCTAGTTTTAAGAAACAAATTTATTAATCTTTTTTGTTTAAAAAACTAATTATTTAATCTTTTTGTTCATTTTATTTTTTTCATTTAAAAAAATAAATATCATTGAAAGATTGATGAAAAAATAATATATTTTTATAAATAAAATAATATTAACTTAAACATGGTTAATATTAATAAAAAAATAATTAATTTTAAAAATATAAAAAACCTAATTAATTTTTTTTTTTTTTTAACTAGAGGGACTTATTTACAATTTACTTCATTTATTTAACGCGCATATGACAACTGACAAAAGGAAAGATTTGGAAGCCCCACTCTTGACTGAAACCACTAACCGTAATCTTTACAGGAAAACAGCTTTTAATAAATCTACGTACTGCATAAATCCACCTGACTTTCTTAATAGAAAATGCTGTCCTTTTTGTCAAATTTCAATGGACTGCTGCAAAGCTGATGCTATTGCCACTTCAGCCTTTTGACATTGATTCCATTTTGTCGATATGTAAAATGCTTTTTCACAGTAAAAACAAGGGGAAAAAGATGACAAGAAAATTAATTTATCAATTCCATTTAGTCAATGTGGAAAAACGCATTAATGTTTCGTGTGTACCTTCTGCCTATTTTTTATTTCTTTTATGTGAAATTTTTGGTTTTTGTCTTACTTACGTTATCTTTTACTCTTTTATATGAAAATTTTTATAAATAAATATAAATTACTTTATAAAAAAAGATAAACACAAAATATTAAAAAAAAAAACTTTTGATAGGTCTAGATGGAGTAACTACTATACATTATACACTAATTATTTTTTAAATATTATAAAATTTCTCCTTTTATATTTATATAAAAGTGTCCAGTCACTATTAATATTTAAAATATAAAATCCTGATACAAAGAATATTGTTTTAGTTTTTAAGTATGCTTAGAAAATTACATGAAATTCTAAGGATTATTTTGGAGAACTTCTCTTGATATATAAATACATATAAAATTTGTATTTGTAACTATTAACTATTGAAACAATACTTAAAAAAAAATAAAAATAAAGAAACATTAAATATATAGATGAATATTACACGTGTAAAGAACGTGGCAAGAAAACTAATAATAAAATATATGCAAGAAATTGATTTTTTTTTTAAATATCAAATACCAACTTATCAATCTATATATAAAAAAATGAAATAAAAAATTGATTTTCTTTTTTTAAATATCAAATCTCGCCTTTGGAGTCCCTCTGGCCTCTTGGTCTTCTATATCAATTTACACCCTATTATAAGGTAGCGGCTTTTGAACAAAATAAAGCAGCTTTCTACAAAGAATCTTTAGGGCAGTGGTGAAGGTTTCCCACTTCTAATTAAGGAAATATAAAATTTTTGTCCCATTGGGAATACTTTGATGGCAGTTTGGTTCCTATGCATACGTGATGGCAGCTTCCTATTTCAGGCAATCCCTTCGATCGGACTAAAAAGTCAGAAACTTTAATTTTATAGAAGTTGCATTCCATTTACTTGGTAGAATTCGAGTTGAGTGTCTGAATATTACGAATTAAAATAGATTAACAGTATTCCTATTTCCGGCAATCTACTGGGACTCAAAAGTCAGAAGCCTTTTATAAAAGAGGCACTACATTTACTTCGTAGAATTCGAGTATGTGTCTGAATATTAAAGATAGGAACGAAGTAGCTAGATTGTCAGGACTCTCCTTCTTTCTCAAAGAAATTGTGTCTCTTTTTTTTTTTTTTAATATATCTGTTTTAAAATAATTGTATGGTAAAAATTTTTATAACTGTATTTTTTAAAATACCCTTATTTTGCAATAGAGGATTAATTTAGATAGATTTTTTCTTAAATAAAAAAAATATCTTAGGAAAAGATTATTAAAAAAATTATTGATATGACATTATAATTAATAATTTTTTAAAAAACTATACGGAAAATCAAACGAAACTATCAATTTGAGACAGAGAGAGTATAAAGTACATTTAATTATTTATCCTTGTTAAACCCAATTTGAAATCAAACTCAATTGAGGACTTAAGTCATCATCTCAACAAATCAACCTACAAATTCTCTTCTCAATCTACAAGTTAGATTTTTTTCCTTCTCTTTTTTATTTATACAATAATAAAATTCAAAAGAAATCATTTTTTTTTTCTGATTTCAACCGATTTTGACTGGATCACTTTAGATCAATTTAAATTTTATCTGAACCAATTGTCTTAGATTGTTAAATTAAAATCCTTTCACAGCAATATGAAAAGAAATCTCGACCAATTAAAGAGAGTAGAGGAGAAATTAGGGCGATAGCCCATAATTAGAGGGAAACACTGCCCCGTTCCTATTATTTTTATTCGAAATTTGCCTGAATATCTATTACATAATATATATTTTAAAAAATTAAATTTCAGTGATAATATATAATATTGTCAAACCACTTAATCCTAGTTTAAAAATGGTTGTCTTCTCAAGTTCAGCAATTAATAGAGTGGGAATAGCACCTTTTTTTTTAATCTGACCAACATCCACTTAATCTTCGTATCCTTGGTTTGCCTTTAACTGCATTGTAGGTGGAAGAAGCAACTTGCACATTTACGCTACAAATACAATATACACTTAATTGGGTGACAGATAGAACCACAAGAACATTCGTGCTGCATTTCCTGAGCAGCAATATTATCAACGGTTTTCTTCTATATTTGGATTTTTTTATTTTTTATTGAGATTTTTTTTTAATTTGATTGATGCTCTTTATTCTTTGAGATTTTTTTTAAATCTTTTGATATGACGTCAATAATTAGTGATCAACAAACGATATTGTAAAACAAAAATTTTGAATATAGCGGAGGAACTAAAACAAAAAAAAACTCTAAAAATAAAGAATTTCAATCAAATAAAAAAATATATAGAGAGTTTTAATTAACAAAAAAAAAAACAGGATTCGAATGTGAGGAAAATTCCATTATCAACATAACATATGCTGACAGACATGACAAAAAAAAATAAAAGAACATAAATATATATGTAAAGGGTGGAGATCAAAGAATCAAATGGACTGCAAAAACTTTTCTTAATCGATAAGTTTGTGGGGAATCTCGTATTGACATAAGTGTTAAGAAATCATAACGAAATTCTACAAGAAATTTACTTAGATTTGGGGAATCTCGTAGGTCAAGTGTTAAGATATTGTGAGAGAGATATCATCAGAGTTTGTCTCTTTTGTCTTTCTTCCTTCTTTTATTTTTTTATTATGTGGTTTATATGTGATGGAAAGACTTTCGCCAGCAAATCCTAACAAGGACCCATAAATCCACGACTTCAAAACTCATCGGGTTCTATTAAGGTTCATAGCTCTCAAAAATAAATAAATAAATAAATAAAGACTCATTAAACAAGCCTAAAGTTTCTCAAGGAATACGTCTTCTAAAAAAAAATTTTGGAATCGTCCTATTTTAAGAAACTATCAGACATTACACTCCTCCACTATCACTCGAAAATAAAACATTTAATAAAAAAATTCAAAGATGATGTTAATCAGATTTTTACTCAGAATGATTGTACTAACGCCATTGCAAAATAAAATAAGATTTTCAAATGCAAAATATGAGACTGATTTTGATAGTTTAGTATAAAAATTTTATCAAAATGATATATTAAACATTTAATGTATATTTAAGAATAAATAGTTAAATTAAAGATGCGATCACTAAATTTTAATTTTCTTTTCTTGTACATTAGAATGAATCAAATTCGAAATTTGAACTACATGCTTCTAGTTCTTAATTAATCCCACAATTATATTCCATATTATTTCAGCATTAGCATCGCTGACTCCCAATCAATAATTGTTAGAGATTATTATAAATTATATTTTAAGATCTTATCGATCGGCTTAAGCTTTTAGGTAAGATCGTCCTTTAATAATAATAGTATCTCCCCGATTAACCAAAAATTTAATTTAATTTACATATTGATAAATATCGTTTTCGATTTAGAAATTTAAATTATTAAGTTACGGATTTATTTTTATATATAACCACTTTAAATTTATTATTTTTAATCGATATAAGATTTTCTACTCACACATAAAACTCAAGATATGGACGGATGGTTCCCTCATAAGTAAGGATCATTTTAAATCCCTTAATTCTCAACCTACAATAATGAATATATGCCACCATCAAGTACTTGATGCATAATCATAGATCTCTATCTAAACATAATTTTATAGGGAAAATTGTTCAATAGATCCTTATGTAATTAACAGAATTAGTCTCCAATAAGTTCCTAGTAAGAAAAATCAAGCCAAAGAACCCAATGTTTTGCTTAAGTCTTCAATAGGTCCTTCCATTATTAATAGTTATTATGTCAAAATAGTTCTATTAATAAAGCATCTAAAATGCCACTGACCCGCTTTAATTAATTAAAAAAAAAACCTAAAATTAGAATAAAACGTTCAAAAAATTTTAATTTTTTTTTTATAAAAGTGGATCATACAAAAATTAATCCTAGAACTATTGCTAAAACCAAAAATTAAACACAAATCCCTCATACATTTAAATTTCCCCTCTTTTTTATGAAAATATTATTTCATATAATTAAACTAGATTCTGAGAAGTTTTAATCAATATTTCATTATTTGTTCGAAGTTTTAGATTTTTTTTTCCAAATTATTTCTACTATAGCTTTATTTGGTAATTAATATAGGGTTTTTAAATTTTTTATTCAAATCCTTTTTGTCTTTAATGGAGATAATTAGGGTTATAAATGTTGGATAATTTCCTTAATAGATCTTTTAGATTTGACAAATATCACTGACAAAAGGACTTCCATATGTGTGTAAATTTGTTGTTTAGAACATGAAGAAATAACAAATAGACTATATAAAATGAAGAGAAAAGAAAATAGATGTAAAATGGCAAGGTCAATTATTTTAGGAAAAATGGTATTTCTGGCTACGAAATAAGAGGAAGCAAGAAAGAGTAAGAAAAGGGAAAAGCACAAAATAAAACTCTCTCGACCCAGAAGAACCTAGACTCGATCCCTAAAAAATATCTGCAGCCCAAATCAAATTGAAAAAACAGAAGACAGAATAATCGATGTAGCAGGGTTTTATTTATTTATTTATTTATTTTCCGTCTGATAGTAGTTGTTGACATTTACAAAGAATTTCTTAGCAATTGCTGTGCTTGTTCGTTAAAAAGGAAATGGCAAATGGTAAGAGTAAATTTAGAGGTGCGGACAAAAATAAAGGGCATCCCTTTTTGTTTTTTGTTTCTTTATTTAGCAGGTCAGGTTCTTTGCCAACTACTTTGACCGAGGTTAAGTTTCTTCTTTGAATGATTTTAAAGAGAGCATGGGATTCTTCACATCAATTTTATACAAAAGATCAATAAAATTATCTGGCTTGAAGTTTAAATTCAAAAGAGGAAGCATCTATTTTTGTAGTGATAGTAGGTGTGAGTGAATATTACATATTCAATGAATGACTCGTTCTTTTTATATAATATAATAATTTTTTAATATTTGAGTCTATTTTATCTTTAAATATAAATTAAGTTATTATATATTTTTTTGATAAGATTTTCAGATTAAACTACTAGTTAGAATTATTAGTTATGATTTACACATAAACGTTTTTTATTTGTCTAGCTTACAAATATATTTTGAGATTATAAAATAATTATGTGTCTATTACATGATTGATTTTGGTAATTTGATTTAAAAATCTTATTGAAATGATATATTAGAAAACATTAAGAATAAAATTACCTCAATTAAAGATAAAGAAATAAATTGAAGAATTTTTGTATATAACAACAGATTAAGCTATTGACCTAACCCTAACTTATTATATTCTCTTTGTTTTTTTTTAAAAAAAAATTGTGTTTGTTGACAAGCTTGGCTAAAAAGACAAGACGACATGAATTTGCATGCATTTTCATGGAAGGTTACACTAGTACCATTCGTTTTACTCACTCAACCTCCTCTTCGATCCTCTATATAAGAATTAAGAAGGAAAGCATCTATACTTATCAACCAAATCCTCATTTTCATTCCTTGAACTTTCTCTTTATAGCAAAATCAATATCTATCAGTACTGTTTCTTCAAGTTTAGAAATCATGTACTATATCTGCACGAAAGCAAAAACTATCTTCCTTTTGTTCCTCACCTTTAGTGGTCTCAGAACACTAGGATTTGCAAGGCCTGTGAACAACATGACGCCAACGTCTGGTGCAGACAAGGTGTATCTTCCACAGGGTAACCGTCCTATTGTTCCCTCTGGCCCTAATGGCTGCACCTACCTCCCTACTCCGCCTGGTGCTCCTGGGCATTGTCGACTTCATCACTAAGCTCCAACTACTGAAGCTAGTTGCAAGGTCGATCTTCAAAAATCTAGCCTAATTGTCAATACATATGTGATCAGGGCTAAAGCTTTGGTGCAATTAGTTATAAGTCGTGCATGGAAGAATAGTTTTCTAATTTCTGTTGGTCCAAAGGAATCCTTAGATGTCCACTGCTTGTAAGTATATATAAATAAATCTGATACCTATGATTTTGTTCTTATGATCGTCCATGCTTCTATTTTCTTCTTGGATTTCTGCTTATTTATAGGCTGATCATATATATAGTTTATTCAACCTTATGGAAAAATGCAATATCGTCTGTTTATTATTAATTTTTTAAAGAGATTCGACTTAGAAGACTACTAGAGATGATGTTGTGTGTTGAAGTTTTAATAACTTGATAAGAGAAAAAACTTAATCAAAATTTCAAAGGCTTTCTATAACGACTTCGCTTGCTAAAGGAGTATTTTAATGGTGGGAGTTTTTGACTTCCAATAAAAAATTTAAGGTTCAAATCTTTTTTTTTTTTATGCTAGTGGCCACCATAAGGTTCATCTCTGCTTTTCTGGTTTAAAAAACATGGAGGTTTGGAATCCCTAATTTTAAAAGTAATCTATATCTACTAAAATGGTTGAAAATGGTTGGAGAATGATCATTTCCTCGAGTTATTAAAAAAAAAAAAAAAAAAGATTAAGAGAATTATTTTAATCAATATCATTTGATAAGTTGGACCATAAATTAATCTAACAGGAAATAAATTAGCCCCCACCCAAGGTTGTTAAAAAGATTAAGAGAATTATTTTAATCAATATCGTTTTATTTTTTTCCATTTGAATGGTGCTTGGATCTTTGCCTCCTTGCTACATTCCTTCAATTGAAAACATAGAATTTTATGTCAGCACTGATCTCTCAGCATTGAATAGCCTATCCCTTTAGTTTTTTCCTTTACAACTTTGTGATTGATGTAATTTTTTTTTCTATTGTTTTTCTCTCTCTTTGTTGGTCATCAATAGTAATCAATTAGGATGTTTTCCAAAATCCCTTCCGTGCATGCAACAGCACCGAAAGGTGATATATATATATATATATATAATCTAAAATTTAAAAATTTTTTCAAATAATTTTTCTTTGATTTTTTTTTCAAAAAAATATTAAAAAATTTAGTTAAGAATTGAAATATAAAGGAATAAATCATGTTCTTTAGTAAAAAATTTATGAAAAACACAACAAATAAATAGTTAAATACAGAACTAAAAAGAAAAGTTGATGGTTTTTTTTACCTTTAATTTTATATATTTTGTAGACTCATAGCATAGCATAATCTATCAAAATGAAATTATTTTTTAAAATAATTTTATATGTTTTGTCTGATTTAAAGCGTAATGTAAATAAAAAACTAGGTGTAACTAGATAAAAATATTCTTGTCACTTATCACTTTTAATAAATATGATTGTAATTTTTTTGCTTGTCTTTATATCTATCTCGGTCATTAGATCTATAAAGTAATATTAGTAATAAAAAAAGTTTTTTAATTTAATTTTTAGTCATGTTGTTTTATTTTTATTATTTTTATTTATTTATTATTATTATTTAGGAATTTACAAAGAGATTAATACAAAACATATACAAAAAAAAAAAATGAAAACACAAAAATTGAGAAATTTTACACCCAAGGAGGCAATTGAACTAAATGGAAGTGTAATTGAAGTAATTGGAGACCCACTTGATATAATTGGATTTACAAAGACTGAAAATGCTTCAGAAAAGGATCCAATTGAAACAATTCAATTCAAAAGGACCGCATTTGCACATAAAAGTAGATTATTGCAGACAATTGGAGCTAAAAGGGACCAAAAGAAAAATTAAAAGCGAATGGCAGGACCAACACCATTCGAATTGATTCAGCATATCTTCTGCAAATAATCAACAATTATTGCAGCCGTTCCCTGTACACTCAACGAATCTAATCCCCGTTTTTGTGCTGATTGAAGTCGCCAATCCATGATTTAATGGCAGGAACCCATGCTGCAATTGGCGGTAAGCCATGCTGCCATTCTGGCAGCAGCCCCCTCAATGATCAATCCGGAATTCAGCTAATAAATAGGGGGAAGAAAATGATTTTCAGGGTTAGAAAAATCTGGGTTGAGAGAGAGTGAAAAGAAAAGCAAAAAGAGTTGAAAAATTCGAAAATTTGGGCGTCAGCCGCTGGTTTTTTTCTGGGTTTGTGTTCTTGGTGTTCTTGGGGTTATGGGTTTTTGTTCATAATCTGACAGCCACTTTTAGTTCTTTGTTTTGTGTTTCTCTGGTCTAAATTTCCATTTTCACAGTTTTCTCCATCTCCTTGTTTGAAATTCGGGGTTCAATTCTTTCATTTCCGGTTTTTGTTCTTCAAGTTTCTGGTCAGCCTTGCTTTTGCTCTTGATTTTCTGACAGCTACTGTTCATGCTCTTGTTGTTCTTCGGGCTGGTTTGATTTTCGTCGTTCTTTGGGTAGATTGAAGGGTTTTTAAGGCATTTTTTTCGAAGATCAAGGGTCAAGAGTCGAAAAATTGCGTGAAATCTTCTTTTTTGGGTTCGTCATTTCTGGGCTCTTTCGGGTTTTTCTGGGTTTGTTTGGTACTCTTCAGCTGCGTTTTCCCGGGCCAGCTCCTGGGTTTGATCTTCCCGTTTTGATTGTGTTATCGCTTTAGTTTTAATTGTTTGCTTGTTATTTCTTTCATACTTCGCATTGTGGTTTGTGTAATCGAGTCTTTCGCTCGGAAGGGGGTCTTTAATTCCTGGAAAATCTAAAGAACTAGAGAGAGAAATTGAAGAAATAGCTAAGAACAAGAAAGAGAGAGGATCGGGAAGCTTTTGATCGAAAATTTAGAAATTCTCAGCCTTTGGACCTGTTTCTGGGCTTGATCCCAATCATGGTAAAAAGGAGGGCTGGACTGACTTCAGTCCAGCCCAGCCCAGCCTGTTCTACAAAGCAAAAAACAAAAAAGGAAAAAAACAAAAAGGGGGCTGGACCGAGCCCAGTCCAGCCCAAACTCCCTTTCCGCCTAATAAAAAAAAAAAAAAAAAGGAAAACGAAAGGGGACTGGACTACAATTAGTCCAGCCTCCTCCCCTTCTCGTCTTTCCCTGTGTAAAAGGAAATGGAATCAGTCCAGCCTCTCCCAAAAAAAAAAAAAAAAAAAAAAGATATAATAATAAAAAAAAGGAGAAATTATAAAAAAAGGTAAAAGAAGGATGAGGGAATAGAAGTAGGGAAGAAAAAATAGAGGAATAAAAAAAGGGGGGGGGGGGGTAGTTTTATTTCATTAGATTCTGAATTAATTTTTTCTATGTTTTTATTTTATGCTTAATTGCTATTTTAATGTTTGAATTTACTTCACTGTCTAATTAATGTATTTTTTTATTTATTCCTATAATTAGACTAAATAATGGGTGGATAATTGTCAAGTCTCTGGTTTTTTTTTTTTTTTTAGAGAACGATGATAGTTTTTACACCGACAAAAAAAAATGATAAACAAAAAAATTGGTTATTATTAGTTAATTTTAATTTGAGAATTTTGTTTCAAAAATTAGTTTAATGAGCAAATGGTCGAGTCTCCTAATTCTTTTAGGGATCGATGATGTTTTTTTTTCATCGATTAAAAAAAAAAAACAAAGAAAGAGAGAGAAAAAATAAAAATAAAAAATATTAATTAAAATTTTTGACGAAGTCTTCTATTTGATAGAGACCGTTGTGTAAAAAAAAAAAAAAGAAACAAAAAAATAAAATTCTCAACGAAGTCTTCTATCTTATAGGGATTTTCGTTCGATCGAAAAATAAAAATGATAAAAAAATTTCAGCGAAGTCTCCTATCCGATAAGGATTGTCGCCCGATAAAAATATAATAAAAAATTTCTTAACAAAGTCTATTATCTAATAGGAACTATCGTTTGATAAATAATATAAAATAAATAAATAAAAATATTCTTGAAAGGTATTGTCGTTCGACTAAAAAATATAAATAAATAAAAAATCTCAACAAAGTCTTTTATCCGATAGGGACTATCACATGATAAAAATATAATAAAAAAATTTCTTAACAAAGTCTCCTTTCCACTAGGAACTATCGTTTGATAATTGGCAAGTCTCTTTTTCTTTAAGGAATGATGATAGTTTTTCCACCAAGAAAAAAAAGATGAACAAAAAAAAGGGTTATTATTAGTTAATTTTAATTTGAGAATTTTGTTTCAAAAATTAGTTTATTGGGCAAATGGTTGAGTCTCCTAATTCTTTTAGGGATCGATGATGTTTTTTTTCACCAATAAAAAAAAAAAGAAGAAAGAGAAAGAAAAATTAAAAATATCAATTAAAATTTATGATGAAGTTTCCTATTTCATAGGGACCGTTGTCAACAAAAAAAAAAAGGAAGGAAACAAAAAAATAACATTCTCAACGAAGTCTCCTATCTAATAGGAACTCGTTGTTCGACTAAAAAATAAAAATAATAAAAGAATTTTAGCGAAGTCTCTTATTTGAGAGGGATTGTCGCTTAATAAAAATATAGGAAAAAATTTCTTAACAAAGTCTTCTATCTAATAAAAATTATCGTTTGATAAAAAAAATATAAAATAAATAAATAAATAATATTCATGACGATGTCTCTTATCCGATAGGGATTGTCGTTACTAAATATCAATATTTAACAATTATGATGTTCTTCGACACATCGGTTATGTCAAAAATCAAAAAGTGGATCGAATGTTTAAATCAACGTGTCTCTTGACGAAGGGGTTCGACGATCATTTCAATATGATGCCATGTCCAAAAAAATACTAATAAAAAACTTATTTTTGGATTAAAAATAATAGAGTTCAAATCAAAAAATAATTTGGCAAAGACAAAACACTTTAGGAGATGAATTTATGACATAATTAGACATTTCACCTTTATTTTGAAATGACACTTTTGGGTGATTAAATATTTTTTCAAAAGTATAATAAACTCTTTATCCAAAAAGTTCGAACCGA